CCCTCACAACAGATTGCTGCAGCAAGCACCATGAATGACAACCAAAGGAAGAGCTGCAGAACAAAGCAACAAGCAACACTCAGTGTTAGAAGAGGAGCCTCAACACCTTACGAGGAGGATAAGCAGCTCTCCAAAAGGGCTCCTTGAGGCACCTGCCTTGTCTATGTTGCTGCGCTAGCAGCAGGTAAGCTTTTAAGAGTATGTAAGGTTGGGCAGCTTAAAGCAGAAACTTCTACCCAAGTCAATGTTACATCTTTGCAATCACAAACATTGAATTGAGAATATTATATTATATTATATTGTTGGAAGAAATGAGCAGGTCATAAACCTGAATCTAACAGGAAAAAAACAGACCAGGTCTGCTCCACCAGTTATTGCAATAGGAAGACAGTGCAACACACTGAGTGTGACCRGTCAGGTGCCAGAGGGATCCACAGTGTGCTGGGGACAGAGAGGGCATTTGCTCAAACAGTAATCTAATTCTCTCCATTTCTTTTGTAAAAATCTACAGAAGCTTTTTTTGATCGTCAGTAACTGCTGCTCATCATCAGTAACTACACATTAGCTCATAAATCAGCTACMATCTTCAGCGTTGACACAGTCAGAATAATAAAGAAATTTAAATTAGGAGAAACTTCTGACAGACATCTAAATTCCTGCTTAACTCAGTCTACCACTCAACCCTGTGTGTCCCTGGTAGCTTTGCTCTGGCTGCTCCCACTGCCCTTCTGGTTCTCCATGGGGCTGGAAAGGGCTTCCTGAAGAATATGYTCCATCACCTACTGACCTATAAGACTACTCTGTAGTTCCCCGGAACCTCCTTCTTCCTGAAGTGCATGGTGTCCTCTGAGAGCCCATGCTGTTTAAGTAAAAATAAGACAGTTTGTGTATGACTACACRTTTACCTACGATGAATGTCAACTGTCATTTCAGCACCCACTTATCTAACATTATAACATCTTCCTGCCATTCCTCTCCGATAGTGTTTTCTTCACAACCCTTATCATCACCAACAAACTTCATCTCAGTAGTCATCTTCTTTCCAGATGATAGCCCTTTACCTTGATTAATCATCAGCATTTTAGCAAGTAAAAAAATGAACATACTAAAAATAGAATATTCCCATCCATGAAATGCATTTTCCTCTTACCTGACAGCAACTTGGCTTCCTACAGAGCCTTGCTGTGATGAAGAGCCTTGCTGCATGTCCTCTGAACATACAAAAAGACCACTCTCCACTGAATTTCTTCTGTAAACATGTTTTTGACTCCTTTCAAGAATCCTACAAGATAATCGAGCCATGATTTCCCCTTATGAAAGCAACAGGGACCTCCTGCTGTGTCATAGTAGGTGAGAAGCTATTGATTCTATTCTCTGCAATAGTTTCCCCCAATTTTACCACTGCAGATGTTAAGCTTACTAGTAAGTGTTCCCCTAGAGCTCTTTTTATAAAATACTTCCAGATTTTCCAAATGCCAAGTTTTAAGCAGGAGGTCACAGACACATTTAGTAGTGTGGTTATTTAATCCTTGAGCTCTTTTAAATACCATCTGGTTTTGACAACTGGTACCTTTAAATACCATCTGGTTCATGACATTTGTTTTGACAAACTTGTTCCATAACTGCCTGTAACCAACACTTCGATCTAAGAGATCCTTCCACACATCCTCCATACTCAAAGGCTCCAGATTAGAACTTTTTCAAGCTCAAAACAAATACAGATGCAAAAACAAACAAAGACAAAAAAAATCCATGATAGTTTCTTTTTCTAAAATAGCCTTATTTCCAATCTGTCTACAGAAAGAAAGTTCTCTAGCTGGCTCCTGTTGCCAGTGTTTCAAGAAGATTTATTAGTTTCATGCCTTTTTCAAGTTGTTCCTCAAGCAATCCTTGGCTTGCTTTATTATTTTTTTCCTTATTCTGGCAGAATTTATGATTCTTCTACTTTGCTATGGCAGACTAGATTTGACCTTTATAAAAAAGATGAACTTCTGTGTCTAATTACCTCTCTTATCCTGCTGTTTAGCTATGCCATGCCAGCTTCATTCTAGACTTAAGTGTACACATTTGCTCCAAGATTCCCATATGGCATCTTTAAGTAGTTCCCCTACCACTTGCAAGGCTTTTAGTTTTCACAAATTCTCCTTAATAAGCTCTTCATTTTTTTTTATGTAGCTATCTTTAAAAAGAAAACCCCTAAAGCAGGGGATTTTCAGAGAGARGAGGTTGATTTTTCAAGATTTAAATACATGACACCGATCAATACACTCACGGAACAACCATTTGACAGTACCACTTGCAACCAGATCCTGCACATTGGTCAGACCCATGCAGAAAGTCTGCTTCGCCTCTGACTTATTTCTTCCCTACCTGCTTCGCAAAATAGTCATTAAACTGTGTCTAGCAATTTAGTCTTCCCATCAGTCATTGACTGCTGATGAAGTCAACAGGCTGAGCAGGGCACAACACGATTAAGTGGCCACAAGAGAATAAAAGAAGGGGCTACACAGAGGGATGGAAGAGGATTAGTTTGACTGCATAATAAAGGCAGCTTCTGTGCATTTATATATCACATTACTCTCGAGGCTCCCGGTCCTGGAATTAGGCATTTATCTTCTTACATAAGTTGCTCTTTTTCTTACATTCTTAACCTCCTGATTGCAGAGGAAAGATTTTAAAATTCAGACATTAGGTGTGAATTCAAAAAGCAGTAGGCAAACAGATCTCCATTAAAGCAAAAGTGTCATGTAACTGCTTAAGTAGCTTTCAAAAGTTTTAGAAAAACCTCAAATGTGACTACTAAGATTAAACAGGCCCACTACACAGTCAAAATACCTGCTGATAACTCAYTTGAAAAACTACATACACTTCTTTGTTTTGATGCAAGCAGCTGGTCTTTGGATTCCTTGCCTGTTACRCCCAGTATAACATCACTTTGCCCTGGAGCATACAGAAGAAAACCTCCCAGCCTGCTTGTGCCTTAGCTCTTCACTTTAAGTATTTACAGCCCATTTAAGCATCTACTTCTTTCCTAAGGTCCAAAAGCATCAGCAACCTTCCTTCTTTCTCTGCCTGGCAGGAGGACAAATCCAGAACCTACTTAACTTTCCTTCACTTATTCCTTCCCATCCCAGGATGAAACCTGGGCTTAGCCCACAGAGCTGCACACCAACCATAGCTGGCAGGAGACCAACAAAACTGCCAACTCCAATCTCTAGGAACAATTTTACGGTGATCTCACTGTCTTCTCAAAAACACCTTAAAAGCAAAAGGCTGAGGCAATTGATAGAAAAGTTGCAATTATCTTTTAGTATCCTCTAGGAGAAACTGAACACAAATCTAAGGGAAACAWTTATAAGCAGGAGGTTAAGGGAGAAGAGAGAAAGAGAAGAGTTGTAGGGAAAGCCATCCTTTCTGTTTCCTCTACGTGTTTTAGGTAGGGTAAGAGAGCAGCTTTTTTTCCTGAGATTTTGTGCACTGCTGGGAACACAGTGAACAATAAATCAAGGAATGCAGGTCATATTAAAGTAGTAAATTCAGTTAGCCCTTGCACATTCCTGACCAAATGGCTAAAAATCCAGGAGTCCCTCTGAACCTCAGCAAGGTGGACAAGCTCAACAGAGCTGAACATATCATTCTATAAGCAAAGCAATCAGGGAAAGAAAACAGAAGAGGTGGCAAAAAGAAAGGATGACAACAACAACAACACAGGAGAATGGACAATATCAGGCTGGTAAGGAAGGCAGATCAAAAATGCAGGCCATAACCCAGATAACACAGGAAATAAGCATCTTTACAAAAGCAAGAGATGTTTGTGGGGAAAAAAAAACCTTTACTTTTTCCGTATGTGCTTTTGAGCTTTTCTGTTAACTATGCATATAAAATACAGCGAAACTCCTCCAGTTAAATTGAGCCTAATTTAGTTCCTAAAAACTACTACTTAATTTGTTTACTATAAACACTTCTATAATTACCATGATTTTTCAGTATTTCAAAATATTTACACTGGAAACACCTCACAACAACCTAAAATACAAGTAACTGAGCATGAAATAAGACCACCAAACATTAACCATTCCCAGGGCTCTTCTAATCGGAGCTGCAGCACCGTGTGGCTGCACTCAAGCACCCCGGTCCATCTGTTTGCAAGCTGCAGTCCACCAGTTTTACCACCACCCCGCGGCCATTTCTGTGCCTGCTGCTGGCCCTGATCAAAGTGGAAGTTATCGTATCGACCAATACCTGAAACTTCAATCAGATGCATACATACATTAATGAGAAGTAATCTGCAAGTGTCAGAGGCAGTTTGGAAAGCTCAAAACAGGGCCCATTTTGGGGTTCATGGGCCTGTCAGTTGGCTCTCGACAACAGACACAGCAACAAGGGAACCCAACGAGCACTATTCTGAAGATAGTGTGACCTGGACTTAAAAGAAAAGCTGGGTTTAGCTGAGCCTTTTATTTAGGCAGTTAAATTTTCTATTTGGAGGAAACTTTCAACTGGCATTTCCAGATTTTAAAAACTTGTCAAAAATGACACAACCACTTCAAAACAATATGAGCTGTGACACAATCTTCAACAGGGGCAGTAAGCCTCGAGTTCACAAAAACATTTGCCTAAGTAGCAAAACAACCACAAAAAAGTCATTTCTTCCTCAGCAGTTAATAAGCAGACAGACTAAAGGGTTTTAAAGATCATCCCTATTGAATTTTTCTACTTAGCATTTTTAAGTATTTGTAGTCCACTTAAAAGAAATGAAAAGATACAAACAACAGTTCTTTGGCCATGTATTTATTCGTCCTTTGTGGCTTCTGCATTATACACATGTAGTCACATTTTTTATATAGAAATTTCTATACAGAAGTTCTGAGYCAAACTTTACATGAAGGAATTGACCTATTTAGGTAGTTTAATCACACAGTTCTGAAATAAAAAAAATAKAATTTGAAAAAGAAAAGAACAGTTTTTTATTTTTAAACTCTYGACCGTTTTTCATGTTAACATGATAATTACGATTTTATACTGACATTTTATCTGTGAACATTAAGAAAATTTATCACTGAGAAGTAAATAAATTCTGAAGAGTCTTGTCTAAAATATGAACATGAAAAATTACAGAAGAACTAGATTCTCCAATAAAAATAGCTTATATAGAAATGCTCGATATGAAACTACATGGAACTGTGTATATTTACAAGAGATATTAGGAATGAGAGTCTCAACAAAATCAAGGCAAACGTGAGTGCACATTTTCACTACTGCTGCTGGTAAACATCTGTTTTCTCCTGAACACAGTGGAGAAGAAACATGGGACCTTCTTTGGTACCAAGAAGGATGTCATTTCAGTCTAAAAAGGAAGTGAAGAGGAACATATTTACAATATATGCTTGGAAGAGTCTTAGCATTCACTGGATGTCCTCAAAGAATCAGAATGCCTTTGAAAACATTAATGCTGGTAATCAGAGTTTTCTTTAGATAAGCAAGTGTAATAACCATACTGAAATAAAATGCATCTTTGCTTTATTTAAAAATTATAGGCCCTGATCTTGTAAATAGTTCTTAAAGGTTCTTGTAAAAGATTTTCAGGAGTAGGGAGTAATTAGTTACTTTAGCATGTCTTAGAAACATCTCCTTCAGATGACTTCATGGTCTCTAAAGAAAGAGCAAATCCCACACCCATCTTCAAGGAGGAGACTCCAGGGAACGAGAAACTGGTCCATCCCATCTCAGCAGTGATGTAGCAAATTCTCCTGGAAGCCATTTCCAGCCACATGAAGAACCAGAACGGGACTGGCGATGAGAAGCCTTGCTGTGTGGAAAAGGGAGGAACAAGAATGTTGTTTATATTGACTTTAACACTTTCTCCCAGTGTCCTTCAAGCTACCCTAACCAGAATGATATGACAAGCTGAAACGTGGCCCTTAGAGTGGGAGTGAYGGTGGTACAAAGGTGACCAATTACTTGCAGTGTCTCAAGGACTGATGCTCAGGCCAATTCCTAAGGTCCACGTGGACAACCTCTCCAATGAAATAAGTTCATGGATGACACCAAGTTAGAGAGCRGTCACGAGTCCCAGTCAAGATGAAGACATGCAAAGCCCTGCATCTGGCCTGAGGGAACCCTGTGCAATGAGCCAGGTGGGGCAGCGGCTGGCTGGGAAGCAGCTCTGCCAGAATGGCCTTGGTAGACAGTAAACTGAGCAAAGGTCAACAGGGGGAAAGCAGGAAAGCTGGCCCACGACGTGCTGGAGTGCTGCAGACGGGTTTGGGAGCCCTAGGAGAAGGGAGACCTTGACACCCTGGTCAAGTCCAGTGTAGAGCTGCCAAGCTGCTAGGGAACAAGGAGAGGCTGGGAAAGCTGTGTCTCCTTGGCCTGGGTATAAGGCATCTGGGGAGACTCCACTGCTCTGCTCAAGTTCCTAGTGGGAAAGGACAGAAGATGGGGCAGACTTTGCCTGGATGCACGTGTTGATAGGACAAGAAAGAAATGAGTGTAATTTTGAAAGTAGAGCTTGATGATAGCAGAAATTTTTTTTTGGTTGGTAGTTGTAACATGGGTGATTAAATACTAGAAGAAGTTGTCCAGAAAGTCTGTAGAGTGTCCGTCCTCAACTATATTCAAGAATCTGGACAAGGTCTACAGCAACCTGACCTAGTAAGGGATTTGCCTAGTAAGCAGGGATTTGCCTAGATGACTGACAGAAAACCCTAACTAAGTATACAAATCTACAATGAATGCGTATAACCATTACTAAAGAACAAAACAAAATAGTTCATAAAGTTCTTCTCACCTGAGCATGAAGTCAATAACAGAAGAGATTTCCTGTCATTTTGACAGACTTTTCTGCCATGAAAACACAGTTAGTGATAAGTTTCTTATTTCTTGTATTTGAAGTTTCTTGGAAAACAATGGTCTTGCCCCCATCACTAAGAGTCAAGATCTAGTTAAAGGATGAAAATATTACATGAGAACTATACAAGTGGGTGTTGTAATGCAGCAACAGAAGCTGGTTAATTTAACATGTGTTTCTTGCTAAACCATCAGTCTGATTTATGTCGGAGGCAGGGAGAGAAAAAAATAAAGATACATGTACAACTAGCCTTCAGACTAGCTACCATTTGAATTTCCTCATTATATCCATGCTTTTCTCTTCCAGTAAGCAAATGTAAGAAAAGCTCTATGCGATTATTTGAAATTCTGAAATACAGGCTTTCAAACTGTGTATTTTTGACCCCTCCATCACCTCACAAGACCATTTCTGCTCTCATTTTTGCTGCCTTGAAGGTTTGCTCCCACTTCAGCCTCCTACACTCCCTCCTTTCCTCTCACCTCTCCTTCTGCTCTTAAAGTTCCCTAGCCAAAAGTGATGAGTTACTATTTCAATCACCTCCAAATTTGCACCCCCACTATGCGTCCAAAGACACATGGAAATGAAGACAAGAATTGCAAGCAATTCCTTTTGAGAATAGAATATACAGGAAAACTTAGATAAAAACTTATCACTTAGAATAGTTAAAGTCATTCAAATGTGTTACTATGTTTAGGTAAAAAACCTCTTCCCTAAAATTTCACTAAAATGTCATGCAAGTTCTAAACACTGCTCTAAATATTTCATACATTTATACAGTATTTTGCTTAGTTACCCATATTCCACGGTGAAGATCTCCAGAAAAGTTCTTTCCAATTCTCTAAGGCTTGGCAACTTAGGCCTAAGTTGTTTCAAATTCCTCTTGCTCACCAGTTTATACTTGCAGACCAACAAACTTTGCTATCAGTTGTGCTATTAGATGATTGTCGGTGACCAGGCACTGAGTATTTTTCCACAGTTGACCTCTTGTCAAACCCTTAACTGTGCTGTCCTGGACGTCAAAAATCCTAGTCCCACAGCCACATAACAAGCCTGTCATTCATACTTTGTTGAGCTGCTAGTAGTTTAGCTGCAATTCATTCAGCCAAAGTTTAAAGTTCATTAACATTACTTATAATCTTTTTTTTTTTTACATCTTCTGCACTTCGTTTTTAGTGCAGGAGCTTCTGTAGCTTACATTATAAGGGTCTTCWACCTTTTCTTTCATATTTTAAGAGTTGGTTGACTAAGTAGGTATCCTTCTTGCTCTCATCTCAATTTCAAGTTTACTTGTTTGCAGAACGGAACTGGTCTCAGACAGGTCAGCTCCTCCATGTAGTCCAACATCCTGCAAACTTTTTACATTCTCCTTACTGTACAATACAGCACCGGGGACCATATTAACTGCCTTCTCAGAGATTTCAAGTTATGTCATGGAACTGTGAGGGATTATTAGCAAGATATTGTCAAATATTGKTTTTTCCTGCCAACTCATCATCATTTTGACTTTGTGAATTGAAGTTGTGTTGGTTCACCGCTTTCTCCATTGCRGCATTACTGAAAGTAAGGCACTGAAAGCTTCTGATTACTAAGCCAATATCATTGCCATCTCCATTATTTGTAAACATTTACAGAGCAAAACCTGCATYAAAATACTTACACTATTGACAAATAGCAGCACCTACACACTTCCAGTATGTCTTAAATCTGCATTACAGCAAACAACTTTTGATTATTGGCTTTTAAGGAAAATAAGGGGTTTAGGACTTTAAGTTAAAGTCAGCAATTAAAAACAATTCACCCTCTTTATAGAAATATACACATAATACCACATAAGAGTAAGATCAAATCATAGTAGTAAAACTGGAGCTATATTAACACTTATCACAACASTGACTTCAGGATGCTGCCAGAGTTCTAAAAGCATTGGTATTCTTGGCGCATTTCATTCACATCTCTGAAATAAGATGTTTTATCATTTGTCAAAACAAGAGAAGAGAGAAAAAGCCCCAAAAAACACATTCTCTACCTGGGAGATTTTCTTCCCCTGAAAAGCTGAATAAAGATTATATTTACTTACTGACTTTTCTGCTCCTTGCACTTATCAGATTAAAGCTATGGCTATCTAACCAGTACAGAATAATCGCTTGCTTTCCATTCTAATCATGTGCGTTCTACTGAAACATGACCTAGCATTTCCCAGAAACTAAGATAACATTTTCCTTAGAGATCTGCATATTGAAACAGCATGGGAATCACAGGACACTGCTAAATGAAGTGCATATATATGTATATGAAGCCATGTTCACACAGGTCATATTTTGGATTTGTGGCATTTGAATATTATGCCATTTGAAGCACATTAGGTCGCTTACCCTTGGCTCCCTCCATCCTTTATTTCTCAGCCCAAACAAGAGAGAATTTCTTGAGCAGTAAACTAGAATTTACATTATTTATATATACACACACATATATAACATAAAATCATATCCATTTGCTGCATTCTGAGAAAAAAACATCTTAAGTTGAAAACTCATTGGCTTGTTCCTTCCCCTTCCCATCTCCCAGTAATAAAATCATTTTGGATCTCACCAGAACCAGAAGAAAAGCAACAGTTTAACTATTGTTCCAGTAATGCTCCCTGAAAAAGCAAGATTTTGAGCGGTGAAGAGATATTCCCCCAGTTTAATCCTGGCACTTGAGCTTCTGAACAAGAATTAGTGAATGCTGCTATCCTTGCCCTCATAGTCATTCCACACAAAGAATCTGTTTTGATACAGGGTGTAAAGTTCTTTAAAACATTGTGCTCTTAGACAATAGCTAAATAGTGCTTGAAAAACAACAGAAATTCTACTTTATAACAGAACAAAAGTCCTCAGAACATGAAGATAAAGGATGATAGCCTTATTAGAATCTATAGTTTCCAGTCAATACATGTTGATATATCTTCTATCAACACATCTTCTCAAGCAGCGATCATACAACAAGAATTTCAATAGCTACTGACTTTGCCATTCTGCAATTTGTTCTGCAAGAAAATCCATGCCTGAACAAAACTCTGAAGTAGGKTTTTTTTTGTTTGAATTTTTCAAATCAGTAGTTGTTTCAAGGCTGAAATATTTTCAAGAGTCTAATTAGGACTATGTATAGAATAATCAAATTTATCAGGTTTGAAAACCTTGTTTAGTAATAACTAAGCTTTAGAAAGACTTTCACTTACCTTCCATTGAAGCTCAGAACATTAAGACAACGTATTTAATTTAGTACTTAATCAAGAAATTCTTAGTTTTAGTCGTAAATACTTTCAGAGAACAAGCAACAAATTGGATGTGATAACATGCATTAAGCACAGATTGCCTTGCTTTTATCACATCTCCTTCTACACAAAGGACAAGGTCTCATTAAAACAATACTAGCTCTGCTCATTGCCATGGCTGCACCAAACTCCAAAAGGAAATGCTTTATTTTCAGTGATTTAAAAGGCAACATACTAAAACTGCCAGCAGAACCATTCAGTTCAATCATTTATTTCTCTGTACTTTCCATTAAGCTTCCTCGTGACCACTAGAGCAGACTTTTTTGTTCTCCTCCCAAAAGTTTTTAAAACTCAGAGTAAGCTTACAGTTTCCTTTGAATTTTTGCTACTAGTTAACACCTACAGATTTGTTCTCCATCAGTGCAAGGGGACACACTTCAGTTTATCCCATTCTGCATCAAACACTTTCATAAGAACATAAATTTGTTTTATCAGTATCCAGAAAAACAGAAATGACTTTCTAAATTGGGCAGCAAGATAATACATACTGGAAAACACCTTAGTCACACAGGACAGTTAAAAAAACAGTAGGTCTCATAACAATATATGGTGCTATAGGAGGCTGTTGACACTTCCACAGGTTTTTCTCCCCCAGGCACCTGGCATGGACAGATATCTCTCATTTCAGAAAAGTTAGAGAGCCTATTTGCCATGAGTATCGGGAGTCAAAAACCCAACCCAAGATGACAGAATAAATTAAAAGGAAGCAGCAAGGTCTGAATGGAAAGGCTATGAAAGCTGGCTTGGGCAGATGATTAGAAGTTCTCTTCCAGACGACTCAAAGACCTGCTGCTCAAGTGATTGCTTCAATAATGAGGTCTCAAAACTTACTAGTAAGGTCTCAAAGGTATCTGTAAAGTTCAAGGATGGGTAAGGACAATCAGTTTCTGATCCATTAAGTTGCTGAGCATAAACAACTTCATCAACACCTGCAACTAGCAGATCATTCCTGACACTTTTCTAGTCCCCAGAAAGGCAAAGTGGTTCGTTTCATGGAAGTTTACTGGACCACTTCAAAAGTCTAAAGATGAGCTTGACCTTTGGGCAAAGAGGGGAAGTAAAAAAAAAAAAAAAAAAAAAAAAAAAAAAAAAAAAAAAAAAACACACAACACTATCTCACACACACACACTCACAGTAGACAAGTTCAATGCAAAAATGTTAGGGAGATGTTTTATTGGTACTTATACAAACAAACAAAAAAAGCACAAGTATAGTCAATACCACTGGAGAAAAATAACGGATGAGCAATATAAGAAACCAAGCTTGACTACACCATGTCCTTAAACACAAGACAAACAAACCAAAAATTGCAAAGAGTACATGCAAGAAGAAACTAAAGCTAGAAGGAACAAAGACAAGGTTGGAACAACCTCAGAATAAGATGCAATGTTCTAGGAATATATTGAAGCTAAACTGAAATATTCATGTGTTACTTGTTTTATGCAAGATGTATGTGTTTTGTTAGTGTAATTCCCCCTTAAATTCCGACAACTGAAAGGTCTTTATAAAAGACGGAATAAAACCTCAAGAGAGGTTAACAAACATGCAAGTTACTTGTTTAGAAATAAACTGAGCTTGGGAGGGGGAGAACTTCATATCCTGGAAAACTTAATGGAATGGGCTGAACCAATCACAGAACTACGGTAGCCATTAAAAGTTTATAAAAGACATTGCAGGAATCAGAAGACTGAGAAAGGGCAAACG